TGTAAAGTATTAAGGATTTTCTCGTTGGCAATTCATTCACTCACTAATTGGTAGTGGTTGAAGGGATATTCGATCACAAAACCGAAATAGGATTTTTCAGTCAGTAGTTAAATTACAAAGCCATGCTTCATTTACACTAGTTGAGCTTTGGAAAAACTACTACAGGATTACTGTGTTGTTATCAAAATAGACGTGAATTGGGAGTCACACTTGTTCTCGTCCGCCGATATTTTCCGACACAGAGACGAGGAAAAGAGACCACCAAAATAGCGGATAGTTTATTTCAGGAAATCATCTAGATATACACAACGAAATGTCATTGGCCAACTAGGCATTAACCAATCACCATTTGTGTTCTATTCGTTGCAGAACTTCCATTTAATTGATTCAGACTGTTGGCATCTAATTCGTTACCCACTAATCATAACTGGCCTTGTCTCGGAGGGGTTGCCTCATCACGCTCACATTGCATGTAGCTTTGACTGTTGAATTTTTAGACATTTGTGCAACCAGCAGCTATCTAACCGAAATGCGGATGGGCTGTTACTTTGCATGATTGTGTGGGAACTTTTGCGTCATATTCTCACTAATGTTCCTACAAGGATGTGTTCTTCATTTCACCAGTGATCAACTTCTATTATACTAACTCACTCACAAGTTGCACAGTGTTCTTCGGATAATATCTGGTGGAAACTTTTACGGAGTAGAAAACCAGCGTGTTTGCAAATCAAACAGTCATTCAAATCATGTGTGGACAAACCAATCACTCACGGAATTACTTATACACCACTGGGTTCCCCCCTTCCAGTAAATAATATCGGACGGCCGTATATCTAGCCTGAGCAGTTACACTGACTGTGTAATCTCCCGGGGAAGAGACAAACACAAGTTCATCAAATCTGTCACCATGTGTTTGCATCAAATTGAAGTTCAACGAGATTTACGTTCGAGAATTTTTGAAGCAAGTATTTCATTTCAGCTTATGTGGACATTAATGCAGATATGATTCAGGCGAAATAGCGTAGAAATTTATGTGGAAATAAATGCTCCTTATCAGCAGATCGTTTTGGCGACTAGCTCTGGGTATATACGGCCGGGAATGGATCACAGCCATCTTGAGTTTTGTGATAGAAGTGAATACTCAAACTGATTTGAGCAGACGTACGTTAGCTGTTAGAAGCCCGGATTCTAAACGATGTATGTGTGTGTTCGACTCGAATATGTCTTTCAAACGAGGGGCCATGAGTGCGTCAGTGTGGGTTTGTCCTGAATCTGGGTTAAGCCGTGGAACTCGTATACGCACAGATGATGCATTGCACATAATTGCTGTCCAGCCGCGAAAACAGAGTGTAATCAGATTGCTCACTGCTCTGTTCTACCACATGGACACAGGCAACTCATTTCATCATGGTAAAGTAAAAACACGGGTGTACATTTGTTTCTTCACAATGAAATTTTGGTCTTTCGTTCGATGCCGAATACGTGGAAACAGTAAATTTCATTCAAACACGAGACCTCACATTTTAAATGGAAATTGAATGTGCATATACGATTAAAACTGGGCTTGAAAAGTTTGCAAAACCTTTTTATTTATATCGATCGTTTTCCAGCAACACCATGATGTTAATACTTCCCATTTTGAATTCCGAATCCATTCCGAATTCCGTTGCTGTATAAGAGTAGAGCAGAGGAATGGGTGACTCATCCACCTGGATATGCCCACATTTGCGAGCAGATCACAGAGACGCGAACGATTCCAGATGGTGTGTAGAAGGGCTCGTGAGTTGTGTTCGCCCATTGTCATTTGATACACAGCTTCGTCGGGTAGAAGTGCAACTGAATCCCAGGTGAAAATTCTACTCAGCAGTAGTGTTTTATAGTAACTTACCTGATGGATCGAGTCTGATAACTACAGACCTATCATAATTTGGTCTAACAATTTTTGGTCTGATCGTCTGAATGGGTTACCAGGCGGTCTGCAGAGAGAGGTCTGAAATATGAAACTGTAATATTCGGAATAGGAATCGAAATCGAATAACGCGAACTCGGAATCGGACTGAAAACACACTGAACAGCGTAAGGTCAGCGAGAACCAAGATGAGCTGTGGATACAGTTAGTTCTATTCAGAAAATCATAGAAATATATATATCACAAGCAACACAATCATTGGTCGATTCTTCAGTGTCCAATGGACAAGGATATAGTTTATTTGTTTGTCCACTATCATTCAGCCAATCCGGTTTGTGCCAATTGAGACCACAGGGTTGGTAGGTTAATCAGTTTCTTGATTGGCTACCCGGAAGCTGTACCGTGGTGCGTGCGCACTCGTTATACGATCATCACAAAAACCAACACATTGGATATGCACTCCCGATAAGGTATAGCAAAAGTGAAGCTCGAGTTAAGTTCTTCTTGACTGTGTGGTTGACCGGATGATTTGAGGAATATGCGAGGTTTTTGAAGTTTCCGGAAATTGGTTAGTCCGGATCAAAGTATTTGAAAATGACACTTTGACCTTGCGTAACAAATTGTGGTGATCCAGACTTACGTAACCGCATTCCAGGCACAACCAGGTACAGCTTCATGTCATCCATATCATATAAGGAGTAACCGTTCAAGTAATTTCTGATGATCTAGATTTTTCAACGCGGAATGTACTCGGTGACTGATTGTGGATAAGTTATCAGAGTTTTCTCATCTAACACGTTCGACCGATTCTAACGATTTTCGCTCATCATCAAAGGACTTCATCGATCTACTGAATGGACATCCATACGCTAGCGTGACGAAGCAATACTGAGATCTACCTCATTTGATCACCGAAAGAGCATGGACATACACAGGGGCAGTTGGGGAGTAGAAAAACCTGTGATCAGTAGACTAGTGATCAAACCTCATGTTCGCGATTCCAACCACGTTTCGTCCTCAAATTCTCTGTTTTAGTTTTCTAGATCTATTTGACAAATGTGAAATGGTATGGAATGGATTCGAAAGGAAAATATCTCAGAATAAAAACAAAGTTTGAGCTGGGAAGCTGGATAGAGTTCTGGATTGACTCCACTCGGCACCCTGGTGCTTAAAATTGTGTTCAATGAAAAACGACACTCGCAAGTCCGCGTATAACCACACGGGTATGGTGGAACAGCACAGCGGAAAGCAGAATGGATCGGGAAATCGTGCGCAGTTTGACCATGCACGCACTGGCTACGCGTGTCACATGACCCAATATCAGCCAATCAGGAGGGAGATGTGAATAGACCAATCGAATACAGATGTATCAGCCAATCGGATAGAGAGTTGGCAATCAAGGTAGTCTGTTGGCCACTGCGTATTCATTTGTCCATCAAGTGTCTCTCCGCCCAGCAGATATGCCGTCCCCCAGCCATGAGGCTCCACCGGCGAAGGNCTTGGATAAAACAATATGGATGCAAATAACGAATCATTTGCACTCGTGTGGTTGGCCCCGCAGGTCATGGCAACAAGTTCGTTCTAAAGGTCAAGAGTTAGTTCGGAGAATGGAAGAAGAACAGAATAAGGCGGAGGTGAATTCGGGTCAGCCTCCATCTGATGATTCACAAGACACCGTTGGCAACCATCCTGGGGCTCCGAGGCCGACTCGTGTTGAAAATGCAGACCAGATGCGACTTATTGCACCAAAAGTTCAGAACAATACCCTTCCGACCCTTACTCCTGCACCCACCGTCCCAAATTCATCCGATGCAATTTTCCAGGCCGGTTGTATGGGGCCGTTTCTGCAGACACAATCCTTGCCGAACCCAATCAGCGCGGTCAGTGATGCCAGTCGCGTCCCTCTTCAAGTTTTGCCTCACCCGTCATGTGCAAATATGCCCATTAAAACTCTTGGTCAGTTATTGGCCGCGCATGGTCAAGAAAACCAGATGCCGATGTCAGCTTGCATGTTTCACCATCCGGCGATGGATGTATCTTGCATTCCTGTTATCCCGATGTCCAGTGCAAGGATGCCTCACCCAGCTTCTGCCGGATTTCTTCCGGATTCGATAGTTGCCTCCACTCACACTGCCATTTCGGAACCACAGACGACATCTTTAAAGTAAGCAATATCGATGTGGTTAAAACGATTTCCGGGTATAAGTTCACTGTAGTTATCACATGACTAAGAAAGAAGCTTTTTATTTGTGAGACGGGAATCAGTGTGAGCAATATGGGTTGGAGAAGGAAAATTATTCATTGCGAAATTATATGGAATTGTATGACTTATTGATTATATTGGATTAGCATTCGTATTGAATTTAGTATCTAACGTTTTCTTTTACGTTTCCGTTAAGATATTGGAATCATAGGTCCGTTTTTGAACGTGCATGCAGTTGGCACTGATAGTTTAGTACAGTGCTGTTTACATCATTGACCACTTAAGTGGCCAACATGGCTAATAATCCATGTGCTGCGGCTTCGGTTGCTGCCTTTTACCTGTCTTGGGATGAAAGAATAGAAGTCATATTGGAAAGTAAACGTAGATTTCTAAGCGAGGTGGCGATTAAGGTTGAGGGTATATGGAGTGGATGCACGAACGCCTATATTTGTGACCGTCTAATTACCCCGGCAAAATCGACAACCTTTTCGCGTGATACTTTTTATTCCGGTCAAGTTATTAGTTGCACTTTGAGAGCTCTGAACTCCGTCACTGCTTTTCATTTAACTGGGTGGAGGGTGGTGTTCCTTATTTGTTTTCCATCTCCTTTGTCCACTCGGGTTTTCGGAATCGTAGGTTTGGTTTTGGTGACATGCATTTGCAGCTAAGATGCCCTGTTAGCATAGGCGTCGCCGGCGCGTACGCATCGGAACCGGTTGGTGACTCAGTTGTCTCTTTCGGCAACAGTTTACCATATTTTATAAACCATTTTTCAACGTATAAGCCACTCCATCGTTCTCTGATTTACCTAGTTTTCATTGTACTCTGTCCAGCTGCACCCGGAACATTTGGCTCAGCCTCATTCCGGTATAAATGCAGCTAGTAAATATACTAAGATGACCATGGATCATTTACATCTCATTGATGAAAGATACCAGTGGATAAATAAAAATACGAATGTGTACGTAGCATTATGTATGTATTATGAGAAAGAACAGTTGTCCGAGCAATATGTGAATCCAAAACCTGAAACGATCAATGGGTGTTTCATAAAAGTAATCGGATGGTAGGGTATAACTAATCGAGCATGGAATCCCGAACATTATATAACGTCATTGCGGTTGGTGTAGGAAATGTAAGAAACTACCACGGGCATTTAACGTCTACAAATGGGCAGTTTTCTAACGAACTTGAGAGGCATTAATGCCTCGCTCTTTGCATCCAGCGTTGCATTTCGCTTCTGATAAGTTTTATTTCAGTCACGGGTATTCCCCTAGTCCTCATTTATTATTTACCGTATTTATATCAATGACGGTCAATTAATTTCACAATATTTGTGTTGGAGGATAAATGATCGGCCACCAGTAGGTAGCACAATGGCCAATCGAATCTACGCCAACACTTTAAAGGCAGCATACTTGCAAAGTAGGTGGTCAATTGAATCGATACCCACCAAGTCCAGATACTGCCCTAAATTTTCATTTAAATCAGGTGGGCTTTGGGCAGGTATTCTGTAGGTGAGGATGGGAATGTCATCTCTGCTTTTCAAATGAACCACTGTAGGTTTATTAGCTCTGACCATCGCATGCAGCGTCAATTTTTCCTTGGCGTCTCTAATGGAAACTCAGTAGCCGGTCCATTTCCCTCAATATATCATTGAATTCCTTTAGCAGAATCGTTTGCCTTTGGAAACTGTTCCTTTGAGGGAACGATCTATAATGCAAAAACTAAACTTGTAGTTCAGAAATCCGTAGACAGGAAGCTGTCAGCTCCCAAGTTTTAATACTTTGTGTGGTAACGCAACGGGTATTGCGATTTTTCGCGAAATTGTTTACTTGCAATCNCGCTTCAATCCAACTAGTTCGCTCCTTGAAGGTAACGCCGGGAGAACCTTGTTTTTGCAAATCCTCATTCAACGTTTCTCATTGTTTTATCAATAGTCATCAGCTTTTGTTGTATCACTCAAGTCACCAGTGTCAATGGGTTCTTTTCTATCCCTAGTTCCAACTCTACCGTACCGTCTCCGATGCCACCAACACCCTTGTCATCAATCCCAATGCCCTTGCAATTGCCCCCGCTGTCATCCTGTTTCCCGCCTACTGCGTTCACGCCATCTGCACCTCTCGAGAACTCTGAATACTCAAAGCGCATGCGCATTCTTGCACTGAAAACGGAGGTGCTACAGCTGAAAAGAGCCTATTGGATTCGCAAATTGAAATCTGTTTGATCGGCCTATGTCCACCATTGCCAATTATTCAAAGTGTACATATCTTCCTCAGATTTATTTTTCATAAGATATAAATATTGCAACAGCACCACAGTCATTCAACACGATTGGTTCTTTTTCGTGGTAATGTGGTGACGTTCGATGAGTTCATCTTGAGGGATCCAACAAAGTCCATAATGTCAACAGC